ACCAGGATGGTCTCGATCTCTTGACCTCGTGATCCACCCGCCTCAGCCTCCCAAAGTGCTGGGATTACAGGCTTGAGCCACCGCGCCCGGCCCGGGTTGTCTTTTTCTTATTGATTTGTGAGCACAGAAATTCTAAAAAAGAAAGAACAATATAATATGGGAGCCAAGATAAAACCCTATTTAAACACACAGCATTCAGTCACTCTCAAATATTTAATGAGCAGCTACTACATACGTCAAGCACTGAGCTAGGCAGCCTCTACAAAATTGTTGATGGGTAGTAGTTCACGGTTGAAAGCAACTCAAAACCAGGAAGAGAAACCAAATATTTTGGCTTCTGAAATATCTAATAACCCAATGCTCTGGCAACAGCCATGCTACTTAGAGTTTTAAAATGGAAGTGAACATCACACCATTACTTACCTAAAATCTTATCAAAATAATTAAGAAAAGAATCTGCATCAAAAGTGATTGGAGCCTCAGAAGGTTCTCTGCAATATTAAAGGACAAAGACGATTAATTTATTGTAAATATAACTGTTTGAAACTTTTCTAAAGTGGCACCATTCTTAGGAAAGCTACCAAAGATAGAATTTCTAAGGAGGCACAGCAAGAAAAATTGTAGTTTAAGTCTTAAAAATCCTTGAGCTTACTGGCCTTGTAGGACAACAGAAATGGGAAAGTCTGATAAATGAAAAGTAAAAACTGCATCTTGTTTATGTACATTTAACTTATGCTAATTTAGTGACCTACCCACTCTCTAGCCCCAGTAAGATATCTGGCATTAGTAAAAGCATTATTTATTTGAGTTAATTTAAATAAAGCCTATTTTTTTTTAAGAACTAAAGCTTAAAAAATAAACAAGAACATATCTTCCCTTACCCCTCCCTTATTAAAGAAAGAATACCAAACATAAATTTAGATCTTTCACCAGGTTCAAGAGCATCAACACTAAAAATGATATATTTGATACACAAGTAACAATTCTATCTACCTGTTTTTCTTGTTACTTGCCAAATGTAATTTCACATTTCTGTTATTATTTCTGCCTCTGATGAATCCCTTTGAGTTTTCAGTTTCCAATCTGCTTGTAGGGTGGGAGATTAGAAGTCTGAACTTGTTGAAAGCTAAATATTGAGCCCATAAGGCTATCAAAGAGTAAAATACATGGTTTCCCTGTGTGGTTCTAGATGATGGTTTTTAGACCTGTTGGGTGACCTTTCTGGCTTATTTCAAGGACTGCAAAGGATGAGGCTTCTAGAAATCTGATTTCATGATCGAGACCATCCTGGTCAACATGGTGAAACCCCGTCTCTACTAAAAAATACAAAAAACATTAGCTGGGCATGGTGGCGCGTGCCTGTAATCCCAGCTA